TCCCAGCTGGGGTGTGCTGGACAGCTGTGTCTGCCCCAGCTGCCCATCCTTTGCAGTCTGAAGGGGAAGCTTTTTATGAAGATGCACCAACGTCAGATGTAACAACTGGTGGGAGATATTGATTGGATGAGGACTGTGCCTGGCATGGCAGCACTGTTGGAGTCCTGAGTACATTTCCCATTTCCCACTTGACTGACCTCAGTCTTTGGTCCTGCAAAACCTGGCTCATTTCAGTGCAACATCTTCTAACTAACCCCTGGTGCTGCTGCCTGTGTGGCACTGCTTTGCTCAAGTTCCTCCCTGTCAGCTTTACACACATAAAGCCTTTTTTGGTGCTTTCAATTAATTAAGTAACTACTGAAATGGTACCAGAAGTCTACCTGGCTTCCAGCATCCCTGCTTGTTTTTGCCTGAGACCATTAAAAGTGCTATAACTATTTGTCTTGAAGCTCACACATTGTAGCTTCTCATGCAGAGTTTGTCTTGCTTCTGCATCACAGGATGATTCAAGCCCATGTCCCTCCTCATGATGCCATTAGGACATGCCACTATAAGCATGTGTACAACAGCTGCAAGTTGGACGTTGCCTCTTTGTGTGCTAGTGTCATGGTTTAATGCTCAACAAGCCTTTTCTGCTCATAGCAGAGCTCGTCTGAACAACGTAGCATTTAAGGAGGGTTTTCAGGTGATTTGTGTAATCTCCCTCCCCACATCTCTCAGGTTTCAGGTAGCCCTAAGTCTCTCTGCAACAACAAGGATACCATGTAAACCTGGACAACTCTTCCAAACTGGCTGCATAGTGTTCCAGAGAGAGTAAAAAAAAAATTGATTAAAGGTGCTTGAACAGAATGGGAAGCTGCACATACATGTGAGTTTGGTTAGGTATGTTTTTAATGCCTCAGGGCTCCTTGCATGTGTTTTGTGGGCTGGGTGTGCCACTGCCCTCCCCTCTGCTGCCTTTCTGACATCTCTGCCATTTCTTCCTTATGTCTGTGTTCTTTGCTGTCTCCTCCATCACTTCATCACCAGTCCAGTACTCTCAGCCCCTGCTTTGCCAGGAATTCACCCCAGGGCACAGCCCCTTTTTCCTGGCCACCCTGCTCCTTCATCTTGGAATGGTGAGTTTCCAGCCTTGGTGTTCCCAGGGGAGGTAAATGTGTGGGAGATGTTAACTGGCTGCTCTCAGCTGCTTGTTGGGTCTTCAGAAACCTCTGAAATTGTTTGACATTTAGCTGTGCAGATGGATGGAAAACCAGAAGCCTTTGTTATGATGGTTTTTGCTTCTTTGTATTTTCTGAAATCAGAACTCAGATACCTCATTTTTTGTTGTGACTTGATAGGTTCTTATATTAACTGGCTATGGTTAATAAACGTGGAAGGTGACATGAAACCGGCAGCACAGAAAATTTCTTTCCCACTGGTTTTACTCCACACGGTACTGCCCTGTCAGGTTGAATTGTCTGATTTATATTGTCTCCATGTACAGTAGCATCTAGATGGGAATTTTTACCTTTTTGACTTGTGCCTGGTCTTTGGTGCTTTCTCTAAATTTTGTGCCTTTTTTCAGTGTTAAAAAAAATCTGAAAGTGAGAAGTACTGCAATGTGTTAACTAGGGGATTTGGGAGGGAAATTCCTGATGTTCTGTGAGGCAATTCTGTTGGAAGGGAGGCAAGGGACTTCAACAACTTTAATTAAATATGCATGTCTCCTGGAAGATCCAAAGTAATTGAGAGCTGAGAACAAAATGTTGGTTAATGGTATCTCTGGGTCAGACTCTGAGCCTTAGATGTCTGATGCTGCAAAGCTTGTCTCTAGAGACAGAGCAAGGAAAGCTGGTGCCTGTGTAGCTCTCCAACGAGAGATACTGCAGGAATTGGAAAGAGAGCTGGCTTTACACAGTTTTTTTTTCTTTTTAATGTCTGGAGGGGTATACCTCTGCCTAAATATACATTTAAACTCCATGACATGACAGGATCAGCTGCTCTTCCTTTACTTCAGCTATGAAAGCTAAGTATTCTTCATGTCTGTACTGTATGAAATGGTGCCTTCCCACTGCATTGTCATTGCCTGTGAGTGCCTTCTGAGAGGCACCACGATGGTGGCTTGTTCTGTTCTCCTGGCCTGGCCATTGCTGCTCCCCAGGGAGGCTTTGGGGGTGCTCAGGGTGAAGGTGGGTGGGTGCTGTGGCAATGCAGGGGCTGCACTTAGGGCCCGAGTGTGAGTGGGACAGCACCTGGTATGGGGGGGTCATCCCTGAGCAGTGTACAGAGACTGAGACTGCAATTAGGGTCACCTACAGCAGCCCCTATCTGTGCCAATTCTGCAGCTGAGTAGTTAATTTATAGACACTTGCACATTCCTGTGAGTCTCTTGTAATTTGAGCAGTGAAGTGTTGTGTTGTTTTTTTTTCCAAAACAGGTATTTTGTAGTTGATGAGAAGGATCCTTTGTGTGAAATTACCTGTCTTCTGTGTCTGCAGATGTCGTGGTTTATTACACCTGGCTACTGACAGGTTCTTGAAATGGTGACTTTCTCTACAGCCTTAATTACTGCCCATTAAAGCCTTTCTGTTTGCAACCAAATGGAGATGGATGAAGGGGGCTGACTTACTAAAAGTGCTTCAGAGGTTGTGGAAAGCCTCAGGTCACTTCTGTACATTAAACAAGTCTGAAGATCAGAGTTATTTTAATGTAGAGATAGAATAAACTTCTGAGAGCACTCGAAGATGCTAACAAGAACAACTGTAATGCTTTTTTCATGCACTGGGGTTAAAATGAGAATAAAAAGGGAGGGCACTTGGCAGAGCACAGCAGTCTGCTTTCTGCAAGAATGATGGATCTCAACAGTAAAGGTGAACTCTGGCCCTGCTGCAGCTGACATGGACCTCTTGAGAGCCAGGGCACAAAGGTGCACAGAGTGGGCTTCCTGTGCTTAGGGTGTTTTAGGATGCCAAGGACTGAAAATGTTGATCTTGTAGCTACCATACACTGCCTACAGTCAAGTGGAGCAATTCTGTGGTGCCATGGGTGCCTGACAGGTGGCTGGTACCACCCTATGCCACCAGCCTGATCTCTTTGTCCCCTGCCTCTCGTGCTGGGCTGTCCACAGCTGCTGGGGTAGTGCTTAAAAAAAAAAAAAAAAGTGTTAAAAAACCCCAACAAAACAAAAGCAAACAAGTGGGGAGTGATTTCTGATAAAAAAGGAAAAGAAGAAAGAAACAGAAAGGTTTCTAAAACCACATGGAAGGACTTGGCCCTTGCCTTCTGCCTGGAAGTATTTTTTAGCTCCCAATTTCTTTCAGAACCTGAATTTTACATATTTTTTTTCCCCCCCCCATCAAAACAGATTACTGGAATGAGAGTGTTTTATCCCTCATCCCACGAGGTTCCAACTATAAAAGAGTTACCTTAGGGATATGTCTGATAATTTTTGATGCAAAGCACATGAGCACATAATTCCTAATACATTGCAGATTATGGCTTAATTGAGGAATTAGCGATGGCAGCAGAGAGCTTTCTTTGGGGCCTTCTAAGTGTGACCAAATACATCTCAGGAGCTCAGACAGAAGCATCAGAGTTACTAATTGCACTGGAGTGTTTTCTAAGTGGTGGATGAGGAACTCAGGCTGATTGCCCTGTCACTCAGCCAGCCACAGCCAACTGCTGAATTACCTTAGAGGGATGCCAGGAACTCCTCTGTGACCTCTATTACTAATTCATGGGGGGACACTCCTGTGATCCCCAGAGTTTCAAAAGCATTAACTAATCTTTTCTGTTTATTGATGCAAAAATCAATTTAAATAAGTTGTTGGGTTTCTTTCCTGTGATAGGTAAATGGCTGCAACTTCTTTCCATCTTACTTTCATGCAGTTTGCCTTCTCTCCATATTGAAACAGATTAAGGGACTGGAACTTCTCATGGCTTTTACAGTGTGTCACAGTTGCATGTCTATACTCCTTAGATGATTTTTATATTTTCTGACCAGCACACAGGGTGACAATTTCTCTCTGGTAGGTTGGGTTTGCAGTAAAGTCCAAGTTTTCCTCAGAATAAGAATTTTAGGAGCTTATATCAAAGCTGTATTTTGACTAGGTGTGTCTATGCTGAAACCTTTATGATCCCTTCTCAGCTCTCGTCTTTAGGAAGTTCTTTCACATTTACACAGCCAGATTATTTTTATTTGTGGGGTAGATGGAGACAGGCTAGATTGGCCCCATGGCTTCTTCCCCCAGATAAAAAATTCTCATAATTAAATCTCCTTTTTTTTCTGAAATACAAAATGTATTACACATTTTACATTTATACAAAATGTGTTTCACTTGCACGTTGCTTCAGCTAACAAGGTGTGAAACTGCTTAGTGGGGTACTAGTCCCAAGAGGCAGCAACAGCAAACCTGTCAGCAGTATTTCTTCTAGTGGTGCTCAAAGAGACAACCTGGTTGTTGTTAAAGATATTGGAGCAAAACTGTGGTGGTGCCAGGGGCATCTCTTCCCCTGCCCACTCACAGGGCTGGGGATGGTGGCTCCTGGAGGCAGATTTTGGGGGCTAGCAGGGTAAACTTTGCCTGTTACAGTGAAGCAAATTTTAAATGAAATGGTTCAGTTTGGGTTTTTTAATCTCAAAACACATTTTCAGTGAAAGCAATGGTGGCTTTTTTTTTGTCTACAGGCATAGAAACTTCACAGTGGACACATCTGTACCCTTTTGTGAAATATCCTTAATTTCTGTGGCAGAAAGGCTGACCCAGTCTCTGGAAAATCTTTGTCTGCTTTGAGGCTGCAGCCCTTAAATAGTTTGAATAAATTTCTGATCTGCAGGAATTGTAGTTGAGCTATCACCATACTATTTATTTTAGTATAAAAATTGAACTTAATTTCTTGACATTTGTTCCAACAAATTATTTGGTTCAAGGACTTGGAACTATAACGGTTAAAATATCTTCAATGTCTGATATAATTTGCTAATCCACTAAAACTTTCTAAAATTCTCTCATTCCCAGGGTTGCACACAGAAGTATATTGTGAAGAACTACTTCTACTACTACTTGTTCAAGTTTTCAGCTGCTTTGGGTGAAGAGGTTTTCTATATCACTTTCCTTCCATTTATGCACTGGAACATTGATCACTCTGTGACTAGAAGAATGACAATTATTTGGTGTGTAAGTATTTCTGTGAGTTATTTAAATGTGTCACTATTAATTCTCTAACTGTAAAAAATGAATATTGAAGAGTAAGAGAACCCTTCAAACAAACAAATGAGCTGATACAGGGTGTCTGTTCATCTCCATTGTGTTTTACACTGACTTATTTTTTTCAGCCCAATAATTGAGCTACTTTTGGTAGGGTTTATACAGAGCAGATGGGAAAACATTTCCTACCCAATGTGTTGTGATTTTTTTGGGCATAATTTTTCATAACTTTAGGAAAACTTTCCCCATGTCTTCTGCATAATCTTTTCAGATAGTTCTGGCTCAGTTGAAATAAACAGGGTCCTTCTGCAGTCACTTGAGGGGGGAAATCATAATTATTCTCTGATGAAGGCTAAGACTTAGAAACATTGATTTTTCTTAACACTGTAGCATTCTCAAATTAACAGGCTTCAGCATCACTTCAGCCTTCACAGAACAATGTATTTCCTACTGAAAACCAGTAGATAACCAGGCACTTTACTCTGGGTTGTTTTGTTGCTGCCATTGCTCGTCTTGGTATCGATCAGATCATTGCTGCCCAAATAAGTCCCTTTTAGAACAAAGAAGGGAGGCAGGAAGCATCTCTGGCAGATGACAGACCCTGGAGGTTTAGCTGTCAATCTACATCGATTTCAGAAATTTAAGCTTAATAAAAACTTGGATGTGATATCCAGCTTTGTTTCTTGACAGTGGAGCTTCTCCTTGACTTAATATATTCTAGTTAATAATATTCTGTCTTTTGTCCAAATAATATGATGAGAAATAATGAAACAAATTTGAATTGGGTCATACCCCTCAAATGCACCTGGTCTCAGACAGAAGGCATCAGTTGTTCTGTGCCAGTAACCCTCATCCACTCATTTCGTAAAGAGAACATGAAAAATAACTTGCAGATTAAATTCAGAAGTAGGTGGATACTGTATAATTAGAGCTGGGGTTTGGCCAGTAGTACACCTACTGTTTCTGGAAACGTGCCACAGCAGATGATGATTGGTAGTCACTGCCTTCTGGCTTTGTATATTGCTCAAAAATGACTCCTCAGAGCTTCTTGCATGCCCTTCTGCAGGCTTGCCTGGCTTTACTTTGTGCAGGGTCCACCTGAGCACTGGCCAGATCTAGGCTGTTTTAATTAGAGTTTTCAGGCATGTGATGCTGTGATTATTAGCATTAGTTTTCCAGTTACTGAGTGAGCTGTGAAGCTGCATTTTATGTGGAGAGGCTGTTTGAAATACTCAGACTTGTGACAATCTCTAGTTTTAAATACATTTTAAAGATGTAAATTTGAAACAGCTAAAAATGCCTGTGCAGGCTGCGTGTGACTTAGGGCACCAGCCCCTGAGGGGCTGAGACACCTCGGTCACTTCTGGAACAGTGGAATGGGCTTAGCTGCCTGGGTGCCCAGGTGTGCCAGGGGACAAAGCTGGGCTTTGAACTTACCAGAAGGTTTTTGGTGCTGATGGGAGTGCGGCTGGTGCAGCAGTGCCTGCCACACAGGGACTGCCACACGCTGCTGCTTCCGCATGGGTCTTGGCCATGGGAGATACAAGTGAAAATCCAAGTAGTCTGGGAGTTTCTGACAACAGCTGCCAGCAGAAGGCTGGGAAGAGCAGGAAGAGACATGCACAGCACCAGGCACAGTTTGCAGAAGGCTCCTGCCCAGCTGGGGCAGGAACTGGTGTTGAAGGGAGAGCCCTAAGGAGAAGGCAGTGGCAGTTTCCTTGTGATGCTGTTGTGGGGATAAGGAGAAGTTGTTAGTGAAGCTCTTCAGCAGGGAGAGGGATGGAAGAGCAGCAATGACCTTGCTGTGAGCCCAGTGCAGAGCCTGTGGGTACACTGAGGACATGTGTTGGTAAAACAGGGTGACAGGGCTTGGAGTGCCAAAGGGGTTAGGGCACCATGGGACAACTGACCTTACCTTTGGGTGGCAGAGAATCTGAAGTGATACTGAGCAGAGAGCTTCCTGTGCTATCAGGGACTTGAAGCCATGGGTTTCTGCTGCAAGTTGGGAACGGCAATGTCGGTGTTCCAGGATGAATCAGGGCAGATTTTTCCCTTAAAAATGGAAGCCGTGTTAATGCTGTTTATAAGGGCTTCCTGCCATCTTCTCAGCAGCAGTTTATGCAGAGCCAGTCAGCCACGTTTGAGAAAGATAAAGCTGAACTGGAGCAGGGCCAGGAATGATTAGGAAATGGTCTATTTTCTGAGCAGAGACTGAAAGATAAGTCTGTAACAAAATGAAGTTGGAGAGAGAATGGTGTTGGCTGTAAACACAAGGGCAAGGAAGAAGCTTCCTAAAAAAGCACAGTCACAAGAATATACATGCATAAGGCAGTCCCAGTAAGTCAAGTTGGAGACAAAGGTTGTGAAACATCTCTGGAAGGGCAAAGGGCAGTAAAAAAATTATGAAGAGTTTATTTCAGCAGCAGCAGAGGAATGGACTGGGTGCCCTGGGATGTCTTCTCCAGTGCTGGGTCCACAAAACTGTTTGTGGTTTTCTGTGCAGCTGGACAGCTCTGAGGAGCACTGGCTGTGGCCACATCCAGGTGGTTTGGGAGCTCAAGGTAGCACGTTGTGCTTCCACAGCACCTTTCCTCTGGGCACTCACAGTGTGTACACAGACTCCACCCCCCCCCCTTATGGAGAGGTGAGGGAAATGACTGCCTGGGACCTCTGAGCAAGATGCTGGGTCAGTGCTGAAGGTACCATGGTGTCTTTGCTTCCCTTCTTCAGCTCTTTAAAGTAAATGCTCTTGAATCTGCACAGACGAGGCTTTGATGTCTGTTACTCCTGCTACTTTAACCAGGAAGTACAGAGATTCAAACTAGCTGCACACAAACCAGCTCCCAAATGTCCTTTGAATTTGCTGCACATCTTGGCTCAAGTGGTGAAAGCTCAGTTTGTTTGTTTTTTTAAATCTCTGCTACCTCTTCAGGGTTGAAAGCTTTATTTTGTTGTGGAATTCCAGTGGTAAGGTAGAGACCTGAAGGGAAAAAAAAAAGTTAGTTTCTGCTTCCTGTTCAGGATGCTTGGACATTTTTTGTTTTTGTTATTTTTTCAAGGTGCATGGATATAAAATGTACCCACACGTCTTTTAAGCCTATAAAATTTTTTAATTTGTACAGGAGAAATAGGAGTTGGCCAGTGTGGACTTTGTTGGGGCAGGTGTGGAAGCTGCCAGTGTGCAAGAGTGGCAAGCTTGGGAAGCCACAGTTCTGAAGGAAGGAGGGCTTGGGAGGCTGGTGCTGCCCCTCCAGGCTGCTCAAGCAGTGCTGGGGACACACATCTCAGCAAGTCTGAGAAGGTCCTGGGTCTGAACCCATGGCAATTTATCTTCTCATCTTTTCAGAGGAACAGTTTTCCAAAGGCTGTAGCAGGTAGTTACTTAGGAATGATGAGCTCTGAACTCTGGCTCTCAGAGGAACTAGAGATTTAATTACTAGCCAGAATTTACCTGCTGTTGGTGACATTACTGTGGTGTGTTTGAAACCCTGGATGCTGCTTTGGCAACTCACTTTGCAGCAAACTCTGGTTTTAGTGATTCTTTGCTGTTTGTTTTTCTGCTTTTGCAACATTTCACCAAAACGTTTTTCTACTTTTGCAACATTTCAGCAAAACAGTCTCAAACGGCTGATAAACAGTCACTGGGAAGTCAAGCTCTTTAAAGCTCCATATATTGCACTGCATGAGAACAAGTAAGATTGTATTCAGGCATGTAAGTAACTACAAAATGTCAGAATACAAAAATAAATGGTCCATAAAAGAAACTGCCACATGCAAGATAAAGCCTTTATTGAGAAAGAATTTTGTCTGTGCTGGTAGCTGTGCTCTACCCTTGAATCAAAAGTGACAGTGAAGTTTTTATAATCGAGATGCTGAATTAAGGTGCATTTGGTGTTTCTGGTGTGTGTATCTCATTGCTAAGTTTCAGTCATCTAGCTGAGAATAAGGTGAAGGTTAAATCAGAGAACTTTGTTTGACTAGAAATGCAAGGTGTAACAGTTTCTCAGTTTTAGGTGTTAAATGATAAAACAAATCAACGTGGCAGGAGTTTTTCCTGCTACCAGGAGACTATGGGCCCAAATTTCTCTGGTTTAAACCCGTCACAAGAGAGTCAGCTGCCTTACAGTTTTTGTCTGAAAGCTTATTTGAAGACAAAGTGAGTGTCCTAGGACATTGGCCAGGTGTACTTCTGGAGGCACTGGGCTCTCTTTGGTCTTGTGCTGGTCCTGTTTTTCTGAAGAGAGAGGTAAAGTCATCCTAAATTCCTTTGTTTATTATTTACTGTATTGATAAGCTGTCTGTGCTCTCCCTTCCCTGCTCCTGCCCCTTGCTGCACTGCTCTCACTGCCCAGCATGGCCCTGCTTGTGCTGTGCTGGAGCCCTGCCTTGAGCTGTGCTGCTCTCATCATGGCCAGGACAACTCAAATGAGGGTCTGAACATCCCACCAGCTGAATGCAACCTTGAATGTACTGTTGCACCTGACCAAATCCTTGGCACATACCATGTAAAGTTCCTGCACAGCTAACACAAGGTGGATGTGTTTTCTGGAAAGCAATAACCATGCTGGAGATGGCAGATCCTCCAGCTCTCCTGGCCAGCCACCTTCTCCTGTAAGGCTTGTGTGCTGCCCAGCCTCATGGTTGCTGTTGGCATCTCTGCCCAGAGGGAGCAGCTGGGTGGCTTAGGGATGGGATGGGATAGCAGAGTGGGATTGGAGGGTGGCTTAGGGATTCCTCCACCTGCTGCTGGGGCAAAAGGCCATAGGTCCTGCTCTGGGGCTTTCGTAGTGTTTTTCTCTGGCTCCAAACCTTAGTTCTTGGCATTAACTTTGGAGTAGGAGGAGTAGCTCCATGAGAACATACTCGCTCAGCTCTGCTGTCCCTGTGACACATGTGGTGCTGCAGGGCCCAGGCACTGCTGTTACCTGCTGCCGTGTTCATCTCCTTGCTGAAGCCTTCCTGAGGAGATG